GACTACCTGCGAGGTGTCGAATAATAATGGGCTTACAGTCCGGCCAACTGGGAAGACCTCATTGAACAGGTGACGCTCGCAGAAGCCCCGAAAGCATAGCGCAAGGCTGCCGGTGGTTGACACGGCCAGGTGCTGGAAGGACGCCGGATCCTTCAGACTGACGGTGCGGAGGATCTGGCTGTACGTAAAGCGCAATTCGGGGTGAGGTACCCTAAACCCTAAACCCTAAACCCTCTTGAGATTGGGATGATTTTCCCAGCTTGCGACCTTCTAACGATCGGCGGTCGACTTCCGGTGCCAACCCCTAAAATGAGGACCCCAGTACCGTCTAAACTCCTAGTATCCCCCTTAATAACCCCTACAATACTCCCCTGTATAATCCTCTATATAATCCGCCTTTAAAGAGCTTAGACTATAGTACATATGATTATTGTAGGGGGTTTGAGATGCAAGGGGCCTCTGGAATAGGAACCTTACGGAGAAGCTCCAACTCAATCAAAACCTGACCTCCCTTCGAAAACAAACAAGGAAGCCCAAATAGACAGCCCCCCTTTGGGTTTCCATTGGTTTAGGGCTTAGGGATGCTACTTGGAGGGTCATGGTGACTTAGTAAGTAGGTTAATAACCCCTATAAGCCATGTAATAAACCCAGTTATCCCCATTATTAACTTACTTACTAAGTCCCCATGACCCTCCAAGTAGTCTCCAATATTTTTAATCATTATCATGATTAGTATTAGTATTATAGCGATTACTATTATTACTATAAATAGTGATATTACTAGTGCTACTAGTATCATTATTTTTTGGCGGTTTGGGTTTCCATGTTAGTTTAGAGAAGGGCGACTTCCCCCTACTTCTTGCATCTCCGGCATCTCTGAAATACCGAGGGGCAAGGGCGCATCATCCCTTGTGCAGACACTGACCCATCCTGCTTGTGTTTTGACTTCCAACATGTTAAGGGGGTTAAGTTTTGGAGTTTACATTTTTGGGCGTGGATCTGAGACTGGAAGTGCAGTCCTAAACCCTGAGCAAAGAATCCAATCGATAGATGCATGCAAAGCTTTTTTGTGACTGTTTTACAATGATCCCAGAACCTGAGACAGCACCTGAGGCTAAGCGAATTTGGGACTACACGCCACATACGCCCCCAGTTGGGGTGAGGTCGAGTGAGGTCAATAATGCATTGAGTTTCTCAGGGTGTCCTAAACCCTCAACCCTGTTGGGGATGAGTTTTTGGGGTCAGCGCGGGAAACATGTTGGAAGAAGTTGTTTGCCTTCCCAGACGAACATAATGGAACTCCACAAGCCCCAAGCCCCCTCTTTTGAATACAGCCGTGTCTTTAGTAGTAGGGCATCCATGTTATTCTTGCGGAAGGTATGGGGGTCCCTATGCCCTAAACCCAAACCGTCTCCCTAAAACTTAGTTGGGGACTGAGGTCACGGAGCTGCTGACTCGGTACGGAGAACCCGAAGCCGGCCCCGGCCCAGCACGATTCTATGTGGTTATAAAGTTTAGGGTTTGTAAAAGGGGGGGGGCTTTGGTACCCCTATGATGACCAGAGGATCTCATGCAGTGGAACATGAAAAATGAAATGGACTTTGGGGCACGTGGCAAGAAGAAATGTCCCGCTATGCGTTCGAGCTTTCTTGTCGCAGCTGCTGTGGATGGAGCAACGCCTTGCATATTCTGTACCTTCCGAATGCATGGCATATGGGCATGTTAGGCGATGCAAGATGTCGTTTTGGAACCAAAGGATTCAACACTCACCGGTCAATCAAGAGCCGCTAAACGCTAGACCCTAAACGCGGGCTGCTACCCTCTTGGCTCCCTACATATCGTGGAAGCCATACAAACAATTAAGGTCAGTTTGGGAAGTCTCCAAACCTCAGCCCCCAGCCATGTCGGCAGCTGGATAGTGTCGGTGAATATAGGGGCCTAAGTGACTACCGACACTATTTTGAAGTCTATTTAAGGTGCCGTACAGTACGTAAACCCTAAACCGTTATTTAGGCTCTTACAGTACCATCTGTCGGCAAGGCAGCGCCAGCTGACTTAAGCTTCCTCGAATCCCCCCCATGCCACACAGAAAACATATCATTGTCATAATGATTCATCCCTGATCTAGGGTTTAGGGATCCATCCCTGGGTTTAGGGTTTAGGGCTACCATCTGAAGGCCAGTCTGTGATTGCTTCTCAAGATTGAGGTCTTTTCAGGGATTATTGCAAGATGTATGTACTTTGAAGGGACTGTGGGATCCCTATTCACCAGCCCGCCTTAACCCTAAGCGCTATAACCCGAAACCCTAAACCCAAAACCCAACACCCTAAACCCTAGACCTTAAAGCCTAAACCCTAAACCCTACAATATGAGAACCACTTCTGTAGCTTTCATCTACTGCTCTAGATGCCTCGAGACTTTACTGGGCTGATGCTAATTAGGGTTTAGGGTTTAGGGTTCAGCGTTTAGAATTTAAATAAATGGAGTTTAGGGTTTAGAGTCTAGGGTTTAGGGTTCAGGGTTTAGGGTTTAGGGACCTAAACTAAGTTATCCAAATATGTGTATATAGTAAATGATGGGCGGTTTTCTTGCTGTAGTAACTTAATTCAACTTCCTTAGCAGCAGCCAAGCATCAGAAAAAAAATCCTTGTTCTACGGAATTTAGGGCTTTAACATTTTGAGGTTTGGGTCTTACCGCGTTCATGGTTTGGAATGGAGGGGTTAGAGCTTCATACCGTTCAGAGCCAGTCCTAGATCACCTGATTTGTCAAAAGCTTGAAGGTTTATGTTGAAGTATTTGCCAGATGGATCCCCATGTGAGCTGTAGTCCAGACTCCCAGTATCCCCCTTGATAACCGGTATATAGGATCACCTATAGAATCGCCTACATAACCCCCTTTAAGGAGTTTTTAAACCTATAGCTCATATGTCCACCCTTGGTGTTCCCTTGGTAAATACAATTTTGGCAATACCTACACCCTAAACCCTAAATCCTAAACCCTAAACTAAACCCGAAATCTTAAACCCTAAATCCTAAGCCCTTAACACTAAATCCTAAACGCTTTGAAGCACAATGCCTTCCGCTGAGCCATCTTCATGAGTCTGGCGCACCTTTCAAGGTTCGGTTTAGGGTCTGGGGTTTGGGGTTTATGTAGGGTTTAGGGCTTCAAGGTGGGCTGCTTCCAAGCTAATCTCTTGCTTTGGAAGAGGAGGCCGTTTTTGATAAAAAAGGATATGTATATATATATATATATGTGTAGGGATTGTGTTGGTTTTAGGATTTGGGGATGGAATATATATAGATATATGTATATATATATGTATATGTGTCGCGTATTGTCCGAGGGCCATTCAAGACAAAGCTATTGCCATCCAAGCGGATGCGAAAGCCGTGGCCTGTAATTTGCACAAACCCTGAACCCCAAACCCTAAACAAACCCCTGAGCCCCTAAATCCTTCTGAGTTCCACAAGGTGAAGCATTGTGTGCAGGAGCTTGGAAAACAAGGCTTTTCATGCGCAGAGGAGCGTTTTAACCCTAAACCTTAAGCCCTCTTTGAGCCATTGTGTAAACTCCTAGTACACCCCTTAAAAACCCATATAGTGGTCTCCTGAATAATTGTTTGCTAGCAAATGCATGTCTCTCAAAAGATCCCCTTGTCACCCCTAGTAGGGATCCCAGAACGGTTAAGGGTTTAGGGTTTTACAATCCCCAGATCTTCATGGGGTCCCCAAGCATGCCCCATGTTGAGAAAATCCGTAACGGATGGTGACCCTAAACCCTAAGCCCCTTCTGTGGCGGAAGCAAAAAATTTGGTTCTTCTTACGAAATACTATGATACTATGACCAAGAGGAGAACATACTCTTAGAGGTTGAAATCCACATCTTGTGCCGTAGAACTACCCCTTAGACCCGAAACCCTAAACCATGAGCCCCCAACAATCAAACCCGAAATCCATGCTAAGGTTGTCCTAAACCATAAGCCCAGAACCTCGAAACCCTAAGCAACTATTATTAGTGGTTTAGGGTTTAGGGTTGAGGGTTTAAGGTTTAGGGGTTCAAGGTTTGGGGTTTAGGGCCCAGGGTTTAATCCCGAAGCACTAGCTCCAAGGCCTCAAACTAAAACTACAACTCACCCACATCGAACCGAAACTCACATGCACTCTAGTCTAAACTCCTGATAACGGGGGCTATATACGGAGTTATAACGAGGACTACTATTGATGGGGTATAAAGGCGGATACTGGGTGACCATAAACCCTAAGCCCTATATTATAGGCTTATTAAGGGGGATACTGGGAGTCTAGACCATAGCTTTGTGTTTAAATCTAGAACGACATAGCTCCCGCTCTCTCTGCCACACCTTCACCCGGCGGCCACTGCCCTCTTGGACGACCTTTTCGGCCAAGGGATTGGGATTGTCACCCTAAACCCTAAACCCTAAACCTACCCCAAGCCAACCTTAGTTCAGATTCGAGACTAGGGTTTAGGGTTTATAAGCCTTAGGGTTTAGCATTTCTGGTAACAAAAATGCGCAATGAAATAATGTCTGTCATCCCTGAGGGCCCATACTAGAGGCTGAGGATTTCGTGCTTAGGGTGCCAGTGTTTGCTTAAGGCATTGGGCCAGAAACTTCGCATGGAACTGTCCGGGTGAGTGCTCCAAAAAGGCTCCGTGAGAAGTCGCCCCTAAACCCTACTTTGTGGGACCCTGGGGTTACTAATCGGCTAGGGACCTTACTTGTAAACGTATCAACAGTTACAATCGCGTTACACTGGGCCTAGTAAGGCGATAACGTATATTGTGTTGGCTACCTGTATGCTGCCTCAAAATAGAAGCCAAAATCCTGAACCCTGAACCCCAAACTGTTTGCGGGTTCGTGTGGCACCTTGTAAATCTAATGGTACCTAAACCCTAAACCTGCACCCTAAACCCTAAACCCAAGCACTGAACCCTAAGGGGAAGACAAGGTCTGCTAGGGATTCATCCGGGTTTTTGCGCTTAAGGGCCTCAATTACTAGAATCTACAGTGGAAACACTAAATCCTAAAGTCTAACATCCAAAAGAAAACGGAAGCCTAAGCTGGTCTTGTAAAAGGGGTTCACCACCACGGAAATCTCACAGCCCATTTGAGTAGAATAGGCCATTGGCTTTGGGGGAATATTGTCATTTTTGCGTTTTTCCGGCCCTATATAGTCCAAAGGGGGAGACCGCGGGTTACAGTCCTGTTGGAATGTGAAGATCTGTGAGTGTTATCTCGCCTCGGAAAATTGGCAATGGGGCGCTATGGTCTCTTATAACAACGGGTATGGACAACACTAATGTTTTTGTACTATGCCTATCTAACTTGGGTGTCGGGTTTGGATTCATGTTGTGGGGCTTGTATCTCTTCGAATTTGTGGTTTGGGGTGTGGGGTTTCGGGTTTGCAGCTTTGGGTCTAGGGTTGAGGGGCAAGGGTCTGGGGTTTAGAGCCTATGGTTCAGGGTTTAGGGTGGAACCCTAAACCCTTAACCCTCAAGCCTTGGAGGCTATATAGGTTCTGCAAGTGCTTGGGCTACATTGAGAATTGGCGCATCATACTTCGAGACAATAATGGGGATAATTAATTGGGGGTATTATATTACTTATAGGGGTTATAAACCTACTTACTGAGTCCCCATGACCCTTTAAGTGAGCACTGGCGCATGATTCTTCAAGACCGTTGTGCGCAGGAGTCACATTGTGGGCTTCAAGTACTGCTGACGGCGCCCGACTTGGAAGCTCCTGCTCCGGAAGCTCCAATGCGTTTCTCCGTGTGGGTCGTCACCGTTGGACGAAGATGGTTTCCTGAATTTGAAGCCCTAGATCCTAAACACCAAACCCTAAACCTTACAACCAAAACCTCATAGACAACAAAGAGTTTGGAAGAGGCCATCACATCGCTCAAGGAGCAACAGGGCAGGTCTACGCCCCCCCCTGGCAAATCTCAAGAGAAAATACCCTCCCCAAACCAACATGGGGGCTTCCAAACATTCGGGGTACAGTTTGGGCGTCCCCTATTGTGAGGATTATCGTATTGTGGAATCTATCTTGGGGCCTCCCTATTTTGAAAAACTTACCACATGTAGCATAACGAGGGGCCTCTTGTCGACTACTGTCCTTTGAAAGGGGTGCCATGCGAGCTATAGTCTAAACTCCCAATATCCCCGTAATTGCCCCTATAGTATATAACCCCCTTTACGGAGTTTAGACTATAGCTCATGTGGGGTTCCATGTTGAGCAGAGGAAGGTTAATCCCAAAACGGTATGCGTGCCTTTAATCGAGGCTTGCCTCGGTACAGGTGTCGTTTGAAACAACCATGGCATAGGGGCTGTGCCTGAAGCAGAGTAGAAGCCCTAAACCCTAACCCTGAAACCTAAACCCCGAACCCTAACCTCTTACATTGCCGACATGGCCCTGGGAGAATACCTGGAGAGTCATGGAGACTTAATAAGTAGGTTTATACCCCCTAACTTACTAGGTCCCGCTAACCCTCCAACCCTAAACCCTACCTACTATAGCCCTGGAGGAGTCCCCCTGACCCTCCAAGTATGCTTCTCAGAGCCCGATTCTAATGATTTTCGGCGCTTGCGTTGTACTCTTTTGCTTGTATGGACCATCCCTGAACCCTAAACCTAAACCCCGGTTTAGGGTTTAGGGTTTTGGGTTTAGGACCATTGCTTCAGAAGTCAAAGCTCCTAACCGTAAACCTTGAGTCATTCCCCCTTACCTGCGTGGCTCTTAGGACTCCTACCCAGGGTTAACCCCTAGGTACCTATAACAGGAGTATAGGGGGATCCCAACATGGTAAAGGGTCTAAGGTCCAAGCTAGGTCCCAAGGAGTTACAATAATAGCTGCCACAAGAGGACCTAGGAGTTCTCACAACCGTTAGTAAAATCCCTTTAAGGACTTTTACTGAAAGGTTGACCCAACCTGAGCCCCACACCCCCTAACCCCAAGCCCCAGTCCCTAAACCATAAACCTAAGTCCCTAAACCCTAAGTCCCCAAACCCTAAGTCCCTAAGTCCCTTAACCCTAAGTCCCTAAGTCCCTAAACCCTAAGTCCCTAAGTCTCGAAACCCTAAGTCCCTAAGTCTCTAAACCCTAAGTCCCTAAGTCTCGAAACCCTAAGTCCCTAAGTCCCTA